GTCCTCTAGAAGGGCCAGTTCGCTCAAGAGAACAGTTTTTTTTCAGACATTCTCATTATACTTGATTCTCTCTGGATCTTTCAAATTGGTTACCCAGTCTCAAGATTTCCCAGTGTCCCCCAGAAGCAGCATATTAGGGAGAAGTTCTTTCAAGCATTGCTAAGTCTAATAATAGAGTTGTTCAGTTCCGTTTGGAAGAATGAACATAGCCTTGGGGAAAGGAAGTTTCTATTTTACCTTTGCAGTATATTCAGTTTTATCAAAAGGCACAAGAAAACAAACTAACATTCAAAAAAACCAGATAACTATAAACAAATCAAAAAAGAGAGAATCTCTGTCACCATCCAGTGTTTGCTCCTTTTGGAAACAGGGCAGGTACCCGAGGCAGACATGGAGATCTCTTCATTTCATTTCTGAAATGTGTGAAGTTGTAGTATCTGTGAGGATTTGCTCAGTGGATGATCTTTGAGGACCTACTATGTGCATAACATTGAAGGGTTCAGTGATTGCAGAGAAAGAGTATGTGTATTTGGTCAGATTTGAACTTGAAGGATTCTAAAGTGAGGCATTTTCAGCCAAGAATCTGAAAGTCAGATACAGGAATGCCCCACTAGGGGTGCCAGGGTGGCTCAGTTGGTTAAGGATCTGCCTTCAGCTCAGGTCATGGTCTTGGGAACCTGGGGTTAAGCCCCATACCGGGCTCCCTGCTAAATGGGGGTCTGCTTCTCCCTCTCCCTCTGTGCCTACCCCCCAGCCTCACTCATGCTTACTCTCTCTAAAATAAATAAATACAATCTTAAAAAAAAAAAAAAGATGCCCAATTCCAAGAAGCATCATGCATCCAGACTCTCGGGCTGGCCCTCTCCAGAACATGAGCCAGAGTCATCTCTCACTCATTCTTCTACTTCTCTTTGTTCTATTAGAATCCTTTAGTTTTTTTTCATTTTATCAATTATCTGAGAAATGGCTCTCAAAATAAAATTCATGGGACTCCAATTGGTAAGACCAGTTCCTTAAAGTTTAAAGTGTTTATTTTTTATTTTATTTTTAAGTGTAAAGTGTTTATGCTTAAAATTGGACAATAACAATACATTTTTCCACATATAAATGCTTATTTTATCCCACACTTTCAAATCCCGTGCAAGCGGCTCCTTTTAGCGTTACTACTCTACTCCACCTTTTTCTTCATTCCCCAACATTCTGCGAGGTCTTACCTCTTCCTGTCAAAATTCTGTATCTTCTATCAAGGTCCTGATTCTAGGAGCACTTCCGTAAACCAAACCTGAAATAAATTAAACTTTTTTTTGCCATTCTAATATTACACTATTCTCCCCACCAATGTAGCCGAGGTGCTGAAATGCTTTCGAGCAGTTGCTTGGTAGCATCCTTTCCCTGTCAAATCTGCCTGAGGAAAGAAACCACTAAGAACAAGTGGTCCAATAACCCCCACCTGCCAGGACTGTCTTGGGTAACTGTAATCAAGTGGGCTTCTGTGAAATGCCACAGGAGAGCTGTGATGCATTTATCGCTAATCGGGTCATTCTAGTTGTTATCTGAGAATGGCTAGCACTGTTTATGGCTCAAATGAGCACATTTTAATGATCCAAAGACAATGAACACAAGTTGCCACTTCCAGTAAATATTAATTTTAGTAACTAAGTGCAAATGGAACCGTTGGTGAAAATGAATTCCTTTTTGGTTGCATCCTGCCCCATTTATTTTTGCTGTCGTGGGCATTCTTGCTAACAGTTGAAAGAACCATTCATGTTGGAGATGAGGGCCACCTTTCACCTCCAATCAACTCTGGAAGTTGTGAGTGTATCCTGGTTAGGGCTCTGGACATCCAACCTCCCAAATGAAAGTACATCCTGTGCAAGCCAGGAAACACCAGAGATCCGTATCCTCAAAAACATGCCAGTTGCTTCTATGACAACACTGAAAACATGCAAAGAGTATGCATTTAGCAAAACCCCACACGTTAAGAGAGCGAACTCCTGACTGTCTGAGATTCAGTTTTATTTGATATTTTTCTTTCAAGTCGAGCATTTTAAGAAAAAAGGAAATTGGTTGCCTTAGGTCAAGCTTTGACTCCTCCAACATCCTAAAGGGAATTATGTCACAAAATTCTGCAAGAATTTGCCACCAGGACTTTGTTCAAAAGCTCTCAATAGCTTCTTTTGTCTTTTTTTTTTTTTTCTATGAAAAGTCCAAACCCTGAGGCCTCATAACATTCCACAACCTGGTACGGGCGAACCTTTCTACCCTTCCCTATGTTCTGCTACTGCCTCCCTTTCTCCAGCTAAATGGCGTGTAACTGACTTTTCTCTAAAAGCCTCTGTACTTCCAAATCCCATGCAGTTAGCTCCTCTTAGCACTATTACTCTATTCCACCCTTCCCCTCATCCCTCTATACCTTCCCTGCAAGGCTCTACCCTCTCCTGTGAAAAATCCTGCATCCTGAATCAAGGCTCTGATTTTCTGAGTCCTTTCACAAGCCAAAATACATTTAGAAAATTGGCCGCTACTATAATAACAATCTGGTGTTGTTACTATCTGCTTACAGTTTGTTCACTTTTGAGATCCTCTCGCTCTTCTCCATCCCAAACTGGCATATAGTATATGCTTGTTAAATGCTCTAATGTGGGACTCCTGGGTGGCTGGCTTAGCGGTTGAGCATCTGTCTTCAGCTCAGGGCGAGATCCCGGAGTCCTGGGATCGAGTCCCACATCGATTGCGTTCCTTGCATGGAGCCTGCTTCTCCCTCTGCCTCTCTCTCTGTGTCTCTCATGAATAGATAAATAAAATCTTTTTTTTAAGTGCTCTAATGTGTGCTGGGTTGACTTATTTTGCTCAGCATAACACCCTCCGGTTCCATATCTTTATAGATTCTTGAGCAAGTGCAAGGCAAAAGCAAGCTCTTCCCTTTACGGAAATTAGTGTGGAAGCAGATTGCAAAATTGGTTGGAGGTGAGAGAGACTACCGAAGCGGAGGTAGAGAGAATGCCAATACTGCGTTGTAAGAGGGAGGTGAGGAGGTCAAGGCCTAGGATGGCAGGGGACCGTGTCCAGAGGTGAGAATGACCACAAGGCATTCCAAACGAAGGGAGGACTCACTATTGGAAAAGAGGGAGCCAAAGAGGACTCACCATTCTAGCTAGGGAACTTTTGTAGCAAAGAATAGTGACTTGCTTTTTAGTTTAGGGGACACTGAGACATATTCTTTCTCAGAACATAATGTTTTTGGATGATAGCTGGACAATTGTATATTAAGTACATATTGATCAAAGCTTATCAAGTGCCTATACCTTCCAAGTTCTGTGACTTCAGAAGTGAATAAGTACAATTTCTGTCCTCAAGGAGTCCAAACTTAGTGGAACTCAGTGTGGTCACAGGGAGAAACAGTAGATATTATCAGGACACTGAGGTTCTAAAGAAGGCTTTCGGAAGGAGGTGCCTTGAAGGATGATCAGGAGATGATGAGGTAAACAGGGTGGTTTCAATGAAGGCTCCAGGTGAGGTAGAGGCTTGAATGAAGATGAATGGAGCTGAGAAACAGGGGTTCTAAGTGGGTACTGATGATTGGCATAATAGGTTTTGTAATCTGTATGCCAGTACGATGCTTTGATAGATTGCACCTCCTGCCCCATCCATCATCCAGTACCTACAGGAGAACAGCAAAGGAATGCCGAGCAACAACAACGAAAACTCAGGTGTAAGTAGAAGCAAAGGATCCAGCTCTGAAATTTGCCATAAATAGCGAAAGAGATTGCTGTTTATCCCTTCTCCAATTGATCTTGAACTATTTAATGATGCAGATACAGACAAAGTGAAAACATCCTACAGTGAGAATACAAATGTGAGCCCTTTGGTTGTCTGACAGATGAGGGAGGGCAGGAAAACTGTAGTTGGAAATGAAATTCTGTAAATCTCTACTACAGCCGGTAGCTCCTATGGATATGAAAATTGATTTGATGTTACTACTTTTTCCAGGTTCTGAATAAATGACCCTGAAACCATCTAAGCAACTAGTGGGCTAAAATATTCAGGGGGCAAGATCAAGAAGGATTGCCCATCGTCATCAAAGACATAGTGAGCTCCCTGTAAGTACCAGGCTCTGTGACAAAATCACATGGGTTGGGGCAATGGTAATAGAGTTAGTGAACGTCAGGACTGATTGCAACCAATTTTTTTGCAGACGACTCTTTGAGGACAGATGTTCCTTAGTTACATCAGATAATCAAAGCTAATGAAAGGACATCACATGAAAGCATGCTTCTTGTAGGCATGAACAAACCTAACATCTTGACAACAGAGGGTTTTGCAAAGAGAGTTATCTATGTTAGGGACATGGCATTGTAAGCTGGAGCTTTTCTATTCCTTTATGATCCTTCTGATGTTTTGTGTGTTTATTTTTTTTAATGATTTTATTTATTTATTCATGAGAGACACACACACAGAGAAAGGCAGAGACACAGGCAGAGGGTGAAGCAGGGTCCACGCAGGGAACCTGATGTGGGACTTGATCCTGGGACTCCTGGATCATGCCCTGAGCCCAAGGCAGGCGCTAAACTGCTGAGCCACACAGGGATCCCCTGTTTTGTGTGTTTTAAGTTGATTTGCTACTGGAAGCATATAGTGGTTCATGGTATAATCTATATTGTAAGGAGATTCCTCCTGAAATCTCAGAGATCCTGACTTGATTCATCTCAGATGAGGTCAGGACATCAGTATTTTTTAAAAAGTTCCCCAGCCAGGGTTGAGAACCGGTTCTCACCGAGAGTGCCGTCAGAAGGTGGATATTTGGGACCTAGGGTGTTAGCCCTACAGGTGAAAAACACGTGGCCATTTCTGGATTCCCCACACTCCATGCAACCCAACCTGTGCCCCTGAACCAGGCTGAGTCACTCACACCCTTGGTAGTGATGAATGGGAGCCATAGGCTCTAGAGTTTTGTTTCCCAACTATTTTTTTAAAAAAATATTTTATTTATTTATTCATGAGAGACACATAGAGAGACAGAGAATGAGAAAGAGAGAGGCACAGACACAGGAAGAAATAGGCTACATGCAGAGAGCCTGATCCGGGACTCGATCCCGGGCCTCCAGGATCACACCCTCGGCTTGAAAGCAGCACTAAACCACTGAGCCACCTGGGGTGCCCTCGTTTCCCAACTGCTATCTTGGATTCTTTCACGTGTCTCCTACTCTTGCTCCCAATCTATGGTTCTTCCAGAGAAAAGGTGCAGGGTGGAGAGACAGGGGGTGGGACACTGAGGCTAGTACCCTCAGGTACAAATCACCCTTTGAGGCTTTTTTGGAGACAGGCTGACTGCAGCTGGCAGGCAGCCTCTAAGGAAGCATCATCACTGGAAGGGGGGGCTTTTCCACAGGTATCTCTCTCCTCCCATTTTTACATGGATCTCATGCCCTAAGGTCACTAGAAGCCAGCTTGTGCAGGTACAGGTCACAGGCATCCCTTGGGGAGCAGACACATTTTCATTCCCATTTTACCTGCTCTGAGTGGAAGAAACAAGTTTTCATGAGAGCACGGACAGGGCAAGGGGAAAGGGCTCCGGGTGGGAGAGTTGGCTTATCACTTCTGAGGATAGAGACCTGCAATATCACTTTAAATACCAACTTTAAAGGTTTGCTTCATTTATTTTTCTGACTTCTGCTCTGTTTGGGAGAAGCTTTCTCCTGCATTGCATTTGCTTCAGGAAAATATCCTGAGTCTCAGCCTTTCTTTTCTTCTTCTTCTTCCTCTTCCTCTTCCTCTTCCTCTTCCTCTTCCTCTTCCTCTTCTTCTTCTTCTTCTTCTTCTTTCTTCTTTCTTCACCTTCTCCTTCTCTTTCTCCTTCTCTTCCTCCTCCTTCTTCTTCTTCTGTCTCACCTAGGGAAGACAGAGATTCTTAGCAGTCAGGCATATAATTAAAATGAATGACAAAGTTACTGCCTAGCTTCCTTTCCTCCTGGATTATAAAAATACTGTGAGGCTCCTGGAGGACCCGAGGGCTCAACCGAGCCTCCGTCCTCACTTTCCAGACCAGGGGATGGAGCTCCTCAGAGCTGCAGTGACTCATCTAAAGCCCCACAGCCACTTGGGGCCAGACCTGTCTCCTTTAACCTCCCCTCGTGGGTTTAATTTTCCAGCCCTCCAATCATCTTGACAACCTGCCTCTGAAGCCTGTCCCAAATCTGCCCTTCTCAGCTGAAGCTCCTGGAATGAGACACATGACCCCAGAGGGGCTGATGTTATCTGAGCATAAAGAGAAGACTGCTCTGGTGTTCTCACATTCTAGGTAGGCATTCCAGTACCTCACTTGCCCTGGCTGTTCTTTCTGACGATGACCCTCTGGTCTATTTCTGACGTGCATGAACACACTCTCCCCTCACATGTCTCGGGTCTGGTTCTCTGCCCAGGGTGTAACGAGGCCCTTACGGAGTCACATTGGAAAAGGTAAAAGCTCAGATGTTCAAAACAGCTTTCTTTTGGAAACACAAAGCACCTTTCTGAGACTAGCAACCTCCTTGATGCTTCTGTGAGGGAGGGTAGGCTGCCAAATTCCAGCTTTGTGCACAGACAGGTTGAAGCTTCAAGTTTAATGGATGTAGCCTGAATCTCCGATGGAGATGGATGAGGATTATTCTGGAAAGCAGCGAGATGACTTTCTCATTAGCACTGAGCCAATTAATCCACACTTAGGGCAACCCTCCTCCCTTCCCCTGCCCACAGCTGCAGCAAATGCCTCTTTTTTCTTTTCCTTCTCTTCCTTTTGTTTTCCTTTCTTTTCTTTTCTTTTTTTCAGATTTCCTTATTTGAGAGTTTGCAAGATGCCGGGCTCGATCTCATGACCCTGAGATCACAACCTGAGCCGAAACCAAGAGTCAGCCGCTCAACCAACTGAGCCACCCAGGCGCCCTACCTCTTTCTTTATTATTACAGCACTTCCACTGTATTCAGTGGCACATGCTTTCAACTCCATGGTGGATATGATACAAAGCAAATCAATGATGTTTAAACCTTGCCCTCGTAGGAGTTGACAACTCAGCAATTTTTAAATAATTGGGGGGATCCGTTTATTTTCTAGATCCCACCAACCTACATTCTTATAGGATAACGTGCCACCTCCACTGTGCTCCCTGAGCACTTTGTACGGTATTTCCTGCCCCTGCATGTATCGCATTGTCTTGTACCTGCCTACCGGGCTCTCCTGCTGCACACTTGCTCCCCACCCCCAGCACCCGTTTGTGGAATGGATGTGCGCCCCAGGAAGGCTCCTCTGCACGCCTCTGCCCCCACCTCTGGTTGCTGCAACTCTGCACTCCTGCAGGTTTTCCAGGATAACCGAAGAGCGTTCCCTGTGTGGGGCTTGTGGGTTCTGCTGAGGAGTTTGGATTCGGCTTCATCCACAAGCCCACGAATCAGTGGCTGACTCTTCCAGAGAGCAGCCGTCTCTGACATCTACAACTGATGCCTGTCCCGGTTGTCTGGTGTCAAAGGGTCACAGGATGGATATTAAGCAACTGTGACCACAGATTGGAGCAGGGAGTACATGGATGGGGCAAAGCTGACTCCAAGAATTGTATGAGTTCGGCACCCAGCAAAACTGCCTGGGAGAAGGGACGTGTCCAAGCAGTGCTTCTTGACGGTTGGGACTACAACCTCTTCATTGCCTCCCTAGAAACACTCCGAGGAAGCCTTCTGTCTGCTGCAGTTTCTCTTGCTTCATAAAGTCGAAAGCAGACTGCTGAGGACACAGCATTCTAAACACTGAGCTCTCTTGGGATGGTGCCCAGAGCAAGGTTCTGGGAACACAAAATATTTCTATAATCCCTGGGGTGAAGCTACTGATAGAAGCAGCTGAGGTGAAGTCTCAGCATGAGGCTGTGATTCCCCAGCCTTCTGTCCTCTCCCTTCCAGCAGGGTTTTCAGTAAAGCCAGTGGCCAGCCCTCTGGAGCTCCTCCTCAAAGGCCATTACCACTGGCCAAAGCCATGACCCAATGCTCAGAACTGCTGCAAATTTACAGCAGTAAATTTGAGAAGACAGTGTCACTAAAATAAGCTCCCACTAGTTGACATTCATTGAACAATTGTTATGAGCTGGGCTTATCACGTGGATTATCTGGTTTAATGCAACCCTATGAAGTGGGTAGATTTATGTCTGAGTCACAGAGGAGGAGGGTACATGAATTTTCCGGTGTCACAGAGCTGAATAAACTGCAGAATTGGGAATTCTATCCAGAAGAGACCAGGTGTCCATGGGTCACCCTGTTTCCATGTCATGGCACTGCCACCCCCCCCCCATGGTTGCCAAGGTAGCCTGGGGAGGATCAGGTCCAAAGGAATTACCAAGGTGGCAGGATGGAAAAGTAGCAGAGTCCAGCTCACTTGGGGAAAACTGGAAGGGGAACACGAATACATTATCCAACAGACGAAGCTCCCATGTGGTGACACCATACTCACAAAGCTTCTTACACAAGAAAGCTTCCTTGGGGAGGCCCTGGGTTGGGGAGCACAGCCCTGGCAGGCTTTCCCGGAATCTGAGATGCAGGTGTGTGCACATACACACACACACACTCAACATGAAACAGAGTTCACCGACATCAAAGGCACAGACGGCCTTCTGTTCCCTTCTGTTTTCTGGATTGCCAGCAATCTGCCATGTATCTAGACCAAATTCCACAGACGGAAATTGCCAAAGGATAATCAGTGGCAAGACTCAGAGAGGAATCTTCAAATGAGAAGCTCTTTGCCTTTTACCTAGAAGGTACCTCAAGAGAAAGACAAAATCTTTTCTTTCAAGCCATTGGAACCAAACTGAGAGCCAGTGAACAACTAGGCAATGGGAAACACTGGGTCTGAGAAAGGGTTTGCTGGCTGCAGAGTCATTCCACCACTCACTCCCTCTGCCTCAGAGCTGAGGCGTCTTCCTTGGCCTATAGGTTCCTTGTAAGCGATTCCTGCAACATTTTATTTTTTATTTTATTTTTATTTTTTTTCCTGCAACATTTTATTGTTTGATCTCCACTGCTAAATCACAGGCTACCTAAGGGGTGAGTTTTTACCTCTGATCCTATATCTGGTGGCTACAAACATGGCAGCTCGGTGGCCTTGGGAGACCTTGTTGATTTTTGCTTTGTTTTGTTGGCCTTTTTATCGACTAAGCCCAGAAAGAACATTCTGCTTCTTCCTATACCTGGAATCTGTATTTCAGTCATCACGAACCTGAACAGTTGTGAACCGAGAAGGTCTTTCACAGTGGTCAGAAAATGCCCAGGTTTGGAAGTCAGACCTTGCTTGGTTTGGGTTCAGTTCCTGGCTCTGCCGCACACTTAGAGCTTACTTGGTTTTTCCACCCTTCAGCTTCTTGTTTGTAAGATGGGAATTCCAGGAACCTCAGAGAGCTAGTGCAAGGTTGAGTATTATTATGAGCACAACATAGTGATTCTTTATTTTTTTTAAAGATTTTATTTATTTATTCATTCATGAGAGACACACGGGGTGGGGGTGGGGGAGGCAGGGCAGAGACACAGGCGGAGGGAGAAGCAGGCTCCATGCAGGGAGCCTGACTCAGAACTCGATCCCGGGTCTCCAGGATTACGCCCTGGGCCAAAGGCGGCGCTAAACCACTGAGCCAGCCGGGCTGCCCAACATAGTGATTCTTTAAAAAACATATATTAGACCGTGTCACCTGTGTGCTCAAATCTGTGGGGGTGATTTATTATTTCACTCAGAATAAAAGTTAAACTCTTTCCATCCACCTGCAAGGCTGAGTGGGATCTGGCCCCCATTACTGCTCACCTCTGCCCTGCTGTGCTGGCCTCCTTTGTCGACTGAACAATCCAAGCACCCATTTTCTTAGGCCCTTTCCATATGCTCTTCCTTCTGCCTGGGGCCATCTCCTCCAAGAAACCCATGCAGCCAATATCTTCAGTTGTTTCAAGTGTCACCTCCTAAGTGAGGCCTACCACCATCACCACCTGATCTAAAATTGACACCTGACCCTCATGCCCATGATCCTGATCCACTGTGCTTTGATCTCTTATTTTTCCAAAGCACATATCCCCTGCTAACATACTCTCTACTTCCCTATGTGTATGTGCGTATTGTCTGGGAGTCTCTAGTGCCATTCTCGTCCCCAAATATGGCTTTACAGGGGTCAGGATTTGTGTGTGTTTGGTGCACTGACATGTCCCAAGTGCCTAGAACAGTACCTGGCACACAGTGTGGGCACCCAACAAGTGATTTTTGAATGAATAATGGTTGAGTGAAGATTATATATGCCTGGCACACAGAAAATCTCGATCATGGAAGCCATCATTACCACCATGACTATGGTCATTGTCGTGATCATCCTCATCATCACTAAAAGAGAGAAGGTCTATAATGCATGCAGCACAGAGCTGATATGCATATAAGTACTAGGTAAATGTTATTTCCTTTTCTCTTCCTTTTGTGGCTTTTTATGTTGTTCCTTTCTTATGGAGGACCCTCGGGACATAGTTATAAAGCAAAACCAACCCCTAGTCCATGTAGAAGTGTCACGCAGGGCCATTTATAGAGTACTATGGAACTGTTGATTATTACTATTACCAGCTGAGCATCAAAACTGAATTTCTGTGACTTTGCATTTTCTTCATCCTGATTCTCTATATTAAGCACACTTTCTGCTCCTTTTCTTAGAAGTGATGAAGAAAGAGGAGGAGGAGAGGGAGATGTAAAAAATACATCTTTGTTTTCATAGTGTCTGGGTTTATACATATATATCAGGGGAAATATATCTGTAGAAGAAGAAAATTAAATTATCAGTTTAAAGTTAAGCATTCTTGGGGTGTCTGGATGGCTCAGTCAGTTAAGTGTCTGCCTTCTGCACAGGTCATGATCTCAG